GTAGTGTGGTGTGCTCCTTTGAGCGGCATTCATGAAAACCCTTCACACTCCACGCTGTCGTTCTCACTCCACACTTGTGCTGGGAATGTTGACCAGAGTCTGCCATATTGTTACGCAGTCCTCCTTCCCTAGGTCTTATCACAGTCTCTCTCTTGCCCCGTAAGATCCGTCTGCTCTCTCCCTGGTTCACGTATTTCACTCGACCCCTGCCACCCCATCTGTGCTACTCGAGGCGTTATTACCCCTCCCCTGCGTCTTAGTCACTAATTCGACGCTAAAGCCTTTGCGTAAGTCTTATGGTCAAGCCTTTGCTTCATGGACCACGTCTTTAGTAAAACCTACTGTCAGCCAACTAGCTCCAGTCTCCGCCGCGTCTATCCAGTTTCTATCCCTAATACCAAGTCTATGACTTGCTCTAGTCTCTTGTATGCCAACTCACAAATGTTGTGGTATGGCTTGCTTTGATTATGTTCAATGTTAAACCACAACGTTTGTTGATGAGTTGTAGTGTGGTGATAAGAATGGCGATAATCACTGACGATGCCTACTCCGATGCCAGGCAAACGTCTGGGGATGTACCACGTCCACGGTCCGACTTTGAACTCCGGACTAGGTGTGTTCTTTTAAGTCTTCCTATCAATATGACTAAGTAGCGAAAACAAGGTTAAACAACCTCTATACAACGAAAGGATACTGCGACCACACAAAAGACCACACCATCTTGGTCTTCATATCTTCGATTATTACTTTTAATTGGCTTTCGAAGACGTCTTCTGCTGTTACAATTTAGCCATTTCTGGACTGGACCAATGAAAAGGTATGCAAACACTTATAGTGAGGGAATTCTTCAAAATTTAGCTTCACCTCAAATTCAAAAATGCATACAACCTTAAACAGTAAATACTTTAAATGAATGAAGCGAAATACCTTCTGTGAATGCACGCAAGCTCGGTGCATTGGACATAGTTGCAGATAGTTTTTCCTCTTACATGAAACTTTCGAGTTAGATATCTGCAAATTATGCAGCTGTCACATAGGCAAAGTCGAAGCCACAATCATCGCTTATTCAGAAAATACTTTGTAGTGACGATTGATCCTATCTTGGCGCTTATTCAAATTCATCGTTTACTTTCCC